GAAGTGTGGGGGTGATAGTGGTTGAATAGATGTAACAAAAATGGTGAAGGATGTTTGTGGTTGGTGTGGAGAATGATAGAAATTCAAGGATGAATTCTTTTCATCTTTTCAATGTTGTTCATATTCTTGGAGAGACAATGCATTCAATCCTTCACAATGCACCTATTCAAGTCTTACTTATCATTCTTTGAAGGCTATTCACATGCTACCAAGGAACAGGAAATGAAGGCTAATTTTATTTCATTTAATCATCAAATAAGTGATAAAATCATCAAGGAATTTGAAGAGACAAGGTGATTTGGACATGTAGGATGTCCACATTCATCCTATGACTTCATTTATCCCCTTTTCTTCTATTTACAAGCAAAGCAAGGCAGCCCAAGAGTCACCCTCCTTTTTTGACGAATAAAAGAGGATAAATGAAGTCATAGGATGAATGTGGACATCCTACATGTCCAAATCACCTTGTCTCTTCAAATTCCTTGCTGATTTTATCACTTAATTTGATGATTAAATGAAATAAAATCAGCCTTCATTGCTTGTTCCTTGGTAGCATGTGAATAGCCTTCAAAGAATGATAAGTAAGACTTGAATAGATGAATTATAAAAGATTGAATGCATTGTCTCTCCAAGAATATGAACAACCTTGAAAAGATGAAAATAATTCATCCTTGAATTGCTTTGAATAGAAGCATTAAGATAGTCTTCAATTGCTTGTCTCTTGGTAGAATATGAAAGGACTCTTCCTTGGCACAAACTTATCCAAATAATCCATGCATGAAATTCCCGTAATGAAAATTCTAGCCTGCACCATCTTCAGTAAATCGATCATATCTCAAGCTCTCAATATTGGATTGAGGTGATTCAAAAGGAATTGGAAAGATAAGAGATAGAGGAATAATTTCCAATTGATTATTGGACCCAAACACGTCTGTCTTGAATCCAGAATTAGAAGACATTCTGAATGATAATTTTGCATCCATTGAGACTGTTTAGCTTCCCTATTGCACCTAAACATAAAGATAAACTGTATTCAATCATAACATGTAAATATGCATGGGATAGTTAAGAGTTAGTTTGATTAATGAAATAACATTATTCAATGAACTAACTTTATTCAATGAACTAAATGCATGAATGAATTAGTTTATTAAATAACTAGATGCATAAATGAACTACTTCCCTAAATGAAATACATGCTTAAATGCAATGCATGCTTTAATATTAAATGCAATGAATGTCATGAAACTAATAAAAGTCATGCAAATTCATGCAATGAATGATATCATATGATAAGCATATACTAAGAGGTAAATACAAACATATGATAAAATATAGTGCATAAATTAGCATGTATAGGATGAAGTAAGGTAGAACTCCCTTTGAATCATCCTTGGTGAACTTCAATGGTTTAATCAGATCAAGACTAAAGTTAGGGCTTATTGGGATCACATCAGTAGAAATATTAAATAATGAAGGTGGTCTTATAAAAGGAAGAAAAAGAAAGAAAGGTTCACTTATTATGCAAAGATACTCACCACCTTCCTGCAAGAAACAATCAAAGGTCTTGAAGACTTCTTTAGGATCAGTTGGAATGATGATGTTGCTTGTCACCTTTGGCACTTCTTTGCATTTTGCTTTCTTTGTTTCCTTTCTTTAGTTTTTCTTCACTTGGAATCCCTTGTTGATGTTTTGCTAATTTTTTTACACTTCACTTTTTTGATTTTCTTTTTATTGAATGGTAGGATGTTGCTTTTGCTTGTTCTCGTTGCAATCCACCTTAGCTCTGATACCATATGATACAGTTCAACCTAGCCTCACTTGGATGGATGGTGAAGTTAAGGTTGTACCTTTGATTGTTTCGATCTAGGAAAGCAACAAGGATCCTACACAAACAAGAACGCTTAAAAAAATAGTTAAATGGAAGTAATAAAATGGAAAGATAAATATGGTAAAAGAATATATATATATAAGTTGATGATATGTTTAAAAAATGATGAAGTATGGTAATGGAAGTAGAATGAAGATGATGGATATGAATATGAAAGGTAGTATCTCAAAGAATACTCAAAGAAGAACCAATGTTAAAGAACAAAGACCCAGACTTTATATTACTTCTTTAAGGGGTGGTAAACAAGGACTTTGACCCACTATCTATAAAGAGATAGGAACCAGAAGTATCAGGGTGAAATAGATAGGGGTGACGCCACAAGCATAAGATAAGTCGATAAAGTTCACTTAAGAACTAAAGAGAGAAACTCTCACAAATATTTAATTAAACCAAGTTAATTGGTTCTTACAAATGAAATGGAAGGCTATTTATAGGTCTAAGAGATGTCTAGGATGCACATACAAGATTTAATGATTGAAAATTCATGGATGAATGTTCATCCTTAAGTAAATACAATGTACGTCCCCTATGCAAGTTCATGGACTAATAAAATAAATAAATGTTCATACATTTAAGTGAATACATATTCATAGCCAAATTCATCCTCCTTGTGTGAAATTGTTGATTTGTCTTCTATGGATGAATTTTCATGAATGTATCTTGGCTGAAATTCTTCCCCCTCGTGTGAACATGACTATTTGGCTTCTTGCATGAATATGCATGAATGGATGAATTTAAAAGCCTTTGAATGAATCCTTGCACCTCCTCACAAATGTTCTGATTCATTTTAATATTCTTTTCTCGTCCATGCATGTCTTCATTAATTCCTTCCATGCATAAGTCCTTTGAAGGAGATGAATGGTTGTAACTCCCATATTAATTTCCAGCCTGCACTGTCTTCAGTAATCTGGACATATCACAAGCTCCTGATATCGGATTGATGGGATTCAAAATGAATTGGAAATCTACGAGATAGGGGATTAAAAGTTAAGAAGACTTCATCACCTAAAGATGCTTGGAACATGTTAAAAAATGTAGATCAATCTGACTGACGTGAACTCTCCAACCAACTCTTTAATTGCCTTTAGTCTTCTTAGCATCCAATGAACCTAGACAAAGTATGTAAACAAATAATTAGATAGGAATTGAGCTATGATAATTATTAATGCATGCTTCCACCTATGTTAATAATGCAAATGAGCTAACTATGAATGCATATGCATTGAATGAGTTATATAAAGATGTGAATTAATAAGTCATGCATGAATATCATATATTATACATATAAATGACATCATATAATATTCAAGCAAAAATTAAGAATAAGATAAACATATTCACGTTACATGTAATGCATAAATGATTAAATAAATAATAAAATAATGTAAGACTCCCTTAGAATCAACAAGGCAGAACATCCATGAAGTGATCATGTGTTGAAGAAGTTTGGTCCTTGGCATGATCGCATCACCTTAAGCATCCTATGAACCCCATGTGAGTGTCTCATGACCAGTCCACCCATGTGCCATGCGTGTGAATGAATTAGGTGCCAAAGTGAAGGGACTTCTCTCTATTCATCCAATTCAAGGTGTTGCTTCAAGTTGGCACCAAGATGAACCATAAGGAGACCATTAAGCCAAAGGGACATCTTCATTCAACCAAGAAACATTTATTTTCAATTTAAGCCTTGTATTTTACCGAAAAGGCATTTATTTATACGGCCAAACCCTTGCAAGTTAATACAAGGCAACCTGTTGATTAAGGACCTCTTCAATTGTAATGGATCTAGAACGAAGTAAGTAATTCCTTTACAACAAACTTACTAAAACTAATGATGATGGTGTGGGTTGTATAGTTAATGCTATGGAAGAAAATGGCTAAGAAGGATAAAGAAAGGAAAAAGAAAAGAAGGAATTAGGTTGCTGGAAATTTAGAAATGTGAAAGGTGGAAGATGAGTGCTCAGATAAGATGAAAATGGTGAAAGAACCAATCTAGAAATTTTTTTTGTTAACAAACAAAGAACAAGGAAGAACTTATAATAAAAAGTATAAACCCGAACCTTATACGTTCAATGTTCAAAGGACTTGGACCCGTTAGATAGCAATCTAAAACACACTTGAAATGTCAAGAAAATAGTTATAAGAATAGCCAACATTGAGATAAAACCTCACAATAATTTTATTCATCAAAATGTGTACCTACAAATGATATATGAAAACTTATTTATAGAAATTTGAAGGGTATGGCCAAATGGTACATGGTGGTTTCTGCCAGCCCTTGTGCCTTCCTCTAAGACATAATTTAATACATAATTAACATGAATAATTAAGTGTTGATTCAGTTGAAATGTAGGAACATGTCTCATGGCTGATTAGCACTTGTGTCCTTTCTAGTTGGTGCCAAGTGGATTCACACGCATTGCACATGGTTTGCTGGTTATATGTAACATGTTGGACGTGCATGAGTCTTCCTCCAAGCTTACTTGAGTGGGTGTCTAGTGAACAAGCAAGGGCTGTGATACGAGTCAGCCCGTCGATTGAGGACCTCTTCGATTGTACCGGATCTAGAACGAAGTAAGCAATTCCTCTACAGCAAAATTACTTGATAATAATAAAGATGGTGGTATAATATGGATATGGTTATGAACGAAATTGAATAATGAAGGATGAAGGATAGATGTGGTAATGGAATTTAGGATGTTGGAAATTGGATAATAACAAAGAACAAGGAAGAACCTATACTAAAGAGTATAAACCCGAACCTTATACGTTCAATATTCAAGGACTTAGACCCTTTAGATAGTAATCTAAGAACCCTAAGTATCACAAACTTAACACAACAAGAACAGTCTTGAAATGTCAAGAAAATAGTTCTAAGAAGAACCAATTTGAGAGAATAACTCACAAAGTTTTAATTTATCAAAGTTCTGCTCACAAAATGAAATTACAAAGCTTATTTAAATGTTTGAAAAAAAGGTTTAGCCGAATAGAAAACATAGTAGTTGGCCAACCTTTGTTCCATGATTCATCTCATAATTAACACGAAATAATAAATGTTGTTTTGGTGGAATTGTAGGAACATGTCTTCATGGTTGATTTAGCTCGTGTATTTCTTCAAATCACTTCCAACTATAGTTTCACGTCTCTCCCATTATTTTCTGGTCATATGGCTTCACATGGGTGTCCTTAGAAAATCTGGTAGTGATTGCTTGTGTACAGAATGTGTGCTGGCCATGTGCATTATTAGGAGACAAGATTGAATCAATGCACATGGGTTGTTTTTGTGCCTTTGTTCTTTACGCACATGGGTTGTCTTTGTGCAATCTATATGAAGGATCTCCCAACAACAAATACACGTGGATGGTCTTCTCCATATGCTCAAGTCAGTGGAATCATAATAAGGACAAAGCTAATGTAATTCCAGCCAAGTCCACTATGCTCAAATTCTATCATGAAATGATTGCACGTTTTGGTGCTGATTTGGGTGAGCTGGAAATGTGTTTGATAATGGTCCATTATCCGTGCATTTATGGGCATGTTCTAGGAGCTTCCTTGTTGTTTCATAAGCTGCCAAAACGTCCTACATTCTTTAATAACCCACATTGTTGTGTTATGTGCTGGAATTGGGTTCAAAACATCCCTTAAAAACCGACCATCAGGGGGCTGAGCACTTGGTGTTCCTATATGTAAAAAAATAACAAATTATTTAATAATTAAGAACAATTGCTGTTGTGCATGTTCCTTAGTGCTTTAGCTTCCAACATGCCTTTGTGGGTTGTAGATGCAATATTAAACTAAATTAACAACACGTGATATGCTATATGAAATGCAAACATGAACAATATGAATTACACGTGAAATGTATATTGTTTATGTGAAACATGCTTCAATGCTTAATACGTAAATACTCCACGATGATGTGCATGCAATGAACTATATGAAAATTATATTGAAATGAACTCCACGAATGTATACATGCTTAAGATTAAAAGATGCAATGCAACTATAACTAAATGCATGAAATGCTCATACTAAGTTATTAACTGTAGATACATTATATAACTTAACGTCGGAGGGTGTCAAGTTATCAAATGAATCAAAAGTCTCAAGACACTTAGTTAGGAGTACTTCCCTGAATTGTTTGGCCCTCGATCTGGTAATGGGACCTTGTGGTATGACTTCAGGATCTGATGTGGGCGTGGTCACATCATCCCCCCTTCTTTAAAGCGATTTGTCCCCAAATCGTCTCCTTCTTCAAAGGGTATTAAATCTGCAATGTTGAATAAAGCACTAACGCCACTAAACTCACCGGGCAACTCTAGTTTATATGCATTATCATTGATCTTTTCCACAATCTGGAATGAGCCATCTCATCGGGGTAATAATTTGGATCTTCTTTGATTTGGGAACCTCTCATTTCTGAAGTGTACCCAAACCCAATCTCCTACTTCAAAAGTTACCTTTTTCCTTTCTTTCTTTGCTTGCTACTCATATTGTCTAGTTCTTCTTTCAATATTAACCTTGACTTGTTGATGGAGTTTCTTAACAAATTCTACCTTTTCCTTTCCATCTTTGTTCACTATTTGATCACAAGGTAAAGGAAGTAAATCCAAATGAGTTAAGGGATTGAAACCATACACTACCTCAAATAGATAATATTTCGTTGCCGAATGTTTAGTTTGATTATATGCAAACTCCACGTGTGGTAGACATTCCTCCCAAGTCTTGGTGTTCTTCTTGATTATTGATCTGAGTAATGTTGACAAGACTCTATTGACGACTTCTGTTTGTCCATCCAATTGAGGATGACAAGTAGTAGAGAAGAGTAGCTTTGTGCCAATCTTACCCCATAAAGTCCTCCAAAAGTGGCTCAAAAATTTGACATCTCTATCCGAGACAATGGTTCGAGGAAGTCCATGTAACCTTACCACTTCTTTGAAGAATAAGTTTGCAACGTGAATAGAATCATCAGTTTTGTTACAGGGTATGAAATGAGCCATTTTAGAAAATCTGTCAACCACCACATATATCGTATCCTTTCTATTTTTGGTTCGAGGTAAACCTAAAACAAAATCCATAGAGACATCTACCCATGGTATGGTTGGTATTGGCAATGGTTGGTATAATCCATGAGGCTTGACTTTTGATTTTGCCCATTTAAATACTAGACACCTTTCACATACCTTTTCAACATACCTTTTCATCTTTGGCCAAAAGAGGTGTTCTTTCAAGATGCTAAGTGTCTTTTCAATGCCAAAGTGTCCCATAAGTCCCCCTTCATGTGCTTCTTTGGTTAACACTTCTCGCATGGATCCTTGTGGAATACAAAGTCTACCTTCCTTGAAAAGATACCCTTCATGCTGATAATATTTTTCGTGAGCACCTGTTTCACATAACTTATATATCTCTCCAAAGTCCAAGTCAGTAGCATAATGTTCTTTAATAAATAAAAAACCAAGGAGTTTGGAATCCAAAGTATTAAGTAGCATATACCTGCGTGAAAGAGCATCTGCCACATTATTATCATTTCCTCTCTTATAGCGGATAACATAGGGGAATGATTCAAGGAACTCGACCCATTGGGCATGTCTCTTTTTGAGCTTGTGTTGTCCCTTGATGTGCTTTAACGCTTCATGATCAGTGTGTATCACGAATTCTCTTGGAAATAAGTAGTGCTGCCAAGTTTCTAATGTTTGAATGAGTGCATACATCTCTTTGTCATAGATGGGATAATTCAAGGTTGCACCGTTCAGATTTTCGCTAAAGTAAGCGATCGGTTTTCCTTATGGACTCAAAACAGCACTAATCCCAATCCCGAAGGTGTCACATTCAACTTCAAATGTCTTCTCAAAATTTGGCAAGGGTAATAGGGGAGCCTTTTTTAAATAATCCTTAAGTTCCTTGAATGCTTCATCTTGTTCTTTGCCCCAACAGAAGTTTCAATTCTTCTTAATAATCTCGGTTAAGAGGGTGGCAATTGAACTGAAGTTTGGTACAAACCTTCTGTAAAAACTGGCTAATCCATGAAAGCTTCGAACTTGACTTACATTGACTGGTTCTGGCCATTCTTGAATTGCCTTAATCTTTTTCGGATCAACTGCTAGTCCCTGTGAACTAACAATGAAGCCTAAGAATGTAACTTGGTTAGTACAAAAAGCACACTTTTTGAGATTAGCATATAAATGCTCTCCTCTTAAAGTGCTTAGAATAATCCTTAAATGTTCAACATGTTCGCTCAAGGATTTACTGTAAATCAGGATATCATCAAAGTAAACAACACAAAACTTACCGATGTAAGGCCGAATGAAATGATTCATTAGACGCAAAAAGATGCTGGGAGCGTTAGTTAAGCCAAAAGGCATGGCTAACCATTCATACAAACCTTGTTTTCTCTTAAATGCAGTTTTCCACTCATCTCCTTCCTTCATTCTAATCTGATGGTAGCCGCTTTTCAAATAAATTTTAGAGAAGATGTTGGCTCCACTAAGTTCATCAAGCATATCATCCAATCGAGGTATAGGACGCCTATATTTGATAGTAATCTGGTTTACAGCTCTACAATCAACACACATTCTCCAAGTTCCATCTTTTTTTGGTACCAACAAAACTGATACAACACAAGGACTTAAACTTTCTCGAATGTATCCTTTGTCCAACAACTCTTTGACTTGTTTCTGTAACTCCTTCGTTTCCTCAGGATTACTCCGGTAGGCTGGTCTATTTGGAATGGTAGCTCCAGGGATGAAATCAATTTGATGTTCAATTCCTCTAATTGGTGGTAATCCATCTGGAATTTCTTCAGGAAACACATCTTCAAAATCTTGCAAAATAGATTCGATAGACAAAGGCAAATCAGGGGGAATTTCAGCCAACAAACAATGCTCTTTATACATTAAAATGAGTAAAGATTGTTGAGAGGAAAGACATTTCCTGATCTCTTTTCTTATTGCATACACGTTTATCTTTTTCTTCCCCTTTGCTTCTTCACTATTCTTTTCAATCGAACTTGGTCTTCTTGCACTTGACTGGGTGTCAAAGGTGCTAAGGTGATTTGCTTTCCTGCATTCATAAAAGAATATCTATTTGTGAAACCATCATGCATCACCTTTTTATCAAATTTCCACGGACGTCCTAACAACAAATGAGTGGCATCCATCGACACAACGTCACATATCACTTCATCCTTATATTTTCCTATGGAAAATTGTATAAGAACTTGTTTAGTGGCACTTAACTCTCCGGCATCATTCAACCATTGTAGCTTGTATGTCTTGGGATGCTTTGTCGTTTTCAAACCTAGTTTGTCAACCATAACAGTACTTGCAACGTTAATACAACTACCACTATCGATAATCACAACACATACCTTATCATTCACAAGACATCTTGTGTGAAAGATGTTCTCGCACTGTTGTTCATCTTGAATTGGTTGTGCATTCAAGCTTCTTTTAACCACAAGTGCTTAACAAGTGGCATAAGTATGTACTTGGTCATCATCTTCATCATCGTCCACCAAGGGGGTGTCTTGCTCATCATTGTCAGATTCGGACTCTATTTCCCCATTCATACGTGTCATCATTGTCCTTAAATTAGGACACTGACTTGAAATATACCCTCTACCAAGGCATTTGAAACATTGGATGTCTCTTGTGCGTTCTGTTTGTATCCGTTGCTTTCCACGTCCATTTTCAACAACGGGAGGTTTTAGACTACTCGTTTCCGCTCTTTCCTTAATTTTAAATGGTGCTTGCTTCCTAGCATTATTAGGAGTAACAGATGGATTAAAGGAAACTTTAGAAGGAGTATTACCTCGGTAAGAAGACTTTCTATGCTGTTGTCTTTCAATTTTGATGGCCATATGCACCATGTCATCTAACTCGACATAATGCTGTAACTCAACAATGTTAGCAATTTCAAAATTCAACCCTGCAAGAAAACATGCCATAGTTGCTTCACCACTTCGATTACCCTGTTTCAAGTTTTGTAACTTCTAAAATAAATCACCTTGATAATGAAATGGAACAAACCGTTTCCTCATGATTCGCTTCATTTCTGTCCACGTGTTCACTGGACCCTCACCGATTCTTCGTCTATTGATCAGCAATTGATCCCACCAAATGAGAGCGTAATCAACAAACTCCATTGCTGCCAAATGAACCTTCTTTTGTTCCGAGTAATTATAACACTAAAAAACATGCTCAACTTTACTCTCCTACGCCAAATATGCATCGGGATATGTTCGTCCCTGAAAAGATGGAATCACAACTTTTATGTTAGCCAAATTATCATCAAGTGTACGTCCATGTCTCTGAGTTGGTCTTGGAGGTTGGTCAATTTCGTTTTCATCATTAATCTCTTCATTATGATGCGTTTGGGATTCTCCTTCAATCTTATCCATTATAGAATATAGATTCTCAAGCTCAGCCCTTATCATCCTTTGTATCTCACGTGTAATGGCTTGCATTTGCAAATTTGGTGGTTGGTCATCTGGATGGTTATCACTAGAACCTGCAATATTAATTCAAATAAAACGAAACAACACACAAAGAAAATAATTAATGTATATAGGACCTTACAATATACACACAAAGATTCTCACAATTTCACTCCAAAGAAATCAGAATTGACACTCAATCACTCAACACTCGTGTTTCACTCGGGAGAAACTTTTAATGGCTCTTTTCTATCTCCCCTTCTGATCTCACACACTCAATGTTCCTTTTCCACTCGTTCCCTCGTAGTCAGTTCTTTTACAAACTAAATTTGATCTTTCATAAATCTGTCAAGTGTGTCGGCTATAGGAAACAACAAAGATTAAAAGAAACTGGAAAATAATGAAAGGAAGGCTAAAAATTCAAAGGAAAATAAAGAAAAGAAGATGAAAATAATTAGTAAACTTACTACAAAGAAATGCTTACAATGAGACTTTCACCAATACAAACAAAGATGCTGCGTTTTGGATTGAATCAAAGCTCAAAGCATTTCAACATTGAAGAGCACAACATCATAGCATTTCTCTTCATCTCAAGACTAAAACTTTTTTTTTTTTTAATTTTCGGAATTCTTTTTTAATTTTTGGAATTCTTTTTTTTTTCAAGATGAATTTCTTACTTGGTTCACCTTTGTTATGATACCATATGATATGAGTCAGCCCGTCGATTGAGGACCTCTTCGATTGTATCAGATCTAGAACGAAGTAAATAATTCCTCTACATCAAAATTACTTGATAATAATAAAGATGGTGGTATAATATGGATATGGTTATGAACAAAATCGAATAATGAAGGATGAAGGATAGATGTGGTAATGGAATTTAGGATGCTGAGAATTGGATAATAACAAAGAACAAGGAAGAACCTATACTAAAGAGTATAAACCGAACCTTATACGTTCAATGTTCAAGGACTTGGACACTTTAGATAGTAATCTAAGAACCCTAAGTATCACAAACTTAACACAACAACAATAGTCTTGAAATGTCAAGAAAATAGTTCTAAGAAGAACCAATTTGAGAGAATAACTCACAAAGTTATAATTTATAAAAGTTCTGCTCACAAAATGAAATTACAAAGCTTATTTAAATGTTTGAAAAAAAGGTTTAGCCGAATAGAAAACATAGTAGTTGGCCAGCGTTTGTTCCATGATTCATCTCATAATTAACACGAAATAATAAATGTTATTTCGGTGGAATTGTAGGAACATGTCTTCATGGTTGATTTAGCACGTATATTTCTTCAAATTGCTTCCAACTATAGTTTCACGTATCTCCCATTATTTTCTGGTCATATGGCTTCACATGGGTGTCCTTAGAAAATCTGGTAGTGATTGCTTGTGTACAGAATGTGTGCTGGCCATGTGCATTATTAGGAGACAAGATTGAATCAATGCACATGGGTTGTTTTTGTGCCTTTGTTCTTTACGCACATGGGTTGTCTTTGTGCAATCTATATGAACGATCTCCCAACAACAAATACATGTGGATGGTCTTCTCCATATGCTCAAGTAAATGGAATCATAATAAGGAAAAAGCTAATGTAATTCCAGCCAAGTCCACTATGCTCAAATTCTGTCATGAAGTGATTGCACGTTTTGGTGCTGATTTGGGTGAGCTGGAAATGTGTTTGATAATGCTCCATTATCCGTGCATTTCTAGGCATGTTCTAGGTGCTTCCTTGTTGTTCCATAAGCTGCCAAAACGTCCTTCATTCTTTAATAACCCACATTGTCGTGTTATATGCTGGAATTGGGTTCAAAACATCCCTTAAAAACCATCCATCATGGGGCTAACCACTTGGTGTTCCTATATGTAAAAAAATAAAAAATTATTTTATAATTAAGAACAAGTACTTCCATGCATGTCCCTTAGTGCTTTAGCTTCCAACATGCCTTTGTGTGTTGTAGATGCAATATTAAACTAAATTAACAACACGTGATATGCTATATGAAATGCAAACATGAACAATATGAATTACACGTGAAATGTATATTGTTTATTAGAAACATGCTCCAATGCTTAATACGTAAATACTCCACGATGATGTGCATGCAATAAACTATATGAAAATTATGTTGAAATGAACTCCACGAATGTATGCATGCTTAAGATTAAAAGATGCAATGCAACTATAACTAAATGCATGAAATGCTAATACTAAGTTATTAACTGTCGATACACTGTATAACTTAACGTCGGAGGGTGTCAAGTTATCAAATGAATCAAAAGTCTCAAGACACTTAGTTAGGAGTACTTCCCTGAATTGTTTGGCCCTCGATCTGGTAATGGGACCTTGTGGTATGACTTCAGGATCTGATGTGGTGTGATCAAATCAGGCTGGTTGTGATTAGATGGTCGTGTGCTCTCCTTAGTGCCCAAATGCTCCACCAAACTGTACATGTCTTCCAAATGCTCCACTAAGCTGTATATGTCTTCCAAATGCTCCACCAAGTTGTCCCAACGTGTATCATGCTCTAATGTACCTACATGTGGAAGCAAATAAGGTAAATTTAATGGCATTGAACTTAAATGAACTAAATGCCTTGTTGTTGTGCATGATCATGTTCTTGTGACCTAATGTTTAAAGTCTAAGAGCTAAAATGAATGAATATGATCTAATAAAATATATGATAAGTATGCTGCCATTATATAAATGTGATTAATCATGCTTAATATGAATGCAAGACTATTATAACATGCTTAACATATTTAAATAACAATGTGCACGATGTGTTCATACTAAACTTTATAACTAGTAACCTTAACATGAAATGTATTATAAATGCATACAATTACTTAGTATAACTAAACTACATTATGAAATGATCCAGAAATTTGTAAACACTTAAGAGAAAGAATTTCCCTGAAATGCTTTGCCTTAGAACGTGTGATAGGTCCTATTGGTAAGACCTCCAGATCAGCTTCCTTTTCCTTAGAACGTGTGATAGGTCCTTGATGTGATCCTGTCTAGCACCAACTTTCTGCATGACATACTCACATCATTAAAGATCCATAATTCTCAATATAAGGGAGTTATTCCTTACTTTATTTTATATTTACTCATTTATGCACTATATATTATTATGAGCATACATTTGCATCTTAAACTATGTTTGAATAATCATATGTTATCATTCACTTGCATATTATATGATTTTCATGCATAACATATGTTTCCACATATTTACTTAGCTTTATATTATGTTTACATATGTTTTAGATTAATTTATTAGGTTTTCATATCATTTACATATCATGGCAGCATGTATTCATTCATTCATGTCACATCTTTAATTAGCTTGTTTCATGCATGTGTTACACATTGCTTACTTATGTTATCATATCAATTGCATTATTATATTAACCATGGAATCATGTGTTATATTAGAATGATACTTATTATTTATTCATTACCTTGGGCATTGTAACTTATATACATTTTGTATTGAGTGCAAGGTACATTCAAGGCAATCCAGTGGATAGTGCACGTCAGCCATATTGATCGCCACTTTTGAACATATTACAAGCATATATGGGAGATTAAGTCTTATTAAAATTTAATTCCCTGTCTCTTAGCTTTCCAACGCATTTTGAATCGTATCAATTTGATATTGGGAGCTCGAGATATGACCAGATTACTGAAGACAGTACAGACTGAATATTTATACGGGATTTTCAACCGAATGAAGACACATACAACTCATTGGAGTATGACACACATTGGACATCTTGGTGGAGCATTTGTAATAAATATACAGTTTAGTGGAGCATTTGGAATATATATACAGCTTGGTGGAGCATTTGGGAAACATAAATAGCTCACAAAGAACATGGCAGCTAGTTGAACACTAAGGAGAGCACCAGGCCAGCTTATCACCACCAGCCCTTGCTAGCTAACTAGATACCCACTCAAGCAAGCTTGGAGTAAGACCCATGCATGCCCAAGATGTTGCACATTGTCAGTATTCATCCTATGCACAAGACAACACTACCAGATTCTCTAGAACACCCATGTGCGTGCCATATGACCAACACATATTATTTCATGTTAAATATGTATTATTTCAACTCAACATGTTCCTACATTTCAACTGAACCAGCACATATTATTTCATGTTAAATATGTATTAAATAATGTTTTTGATGAAGACACAAGGGCTGGCAGCACCACCATGCACCTATTCGGCCATACCCTTTCAAAACTCTATAAATAGGTTTTCATTTTTTATTTGTAAGGAGACTTTGATGAATTAAATTGAGATTATTCTCTTTGTTTAAGTCCTATTGACTTTTATCGACTTATCAAGTAATTCAATTACTTGTGGCATCAACCCCTTTCATTTGATACGTGTGGTTCCTATCTCTATATATATAGTGGGTCAAAGCCCTTATTACCACCCCTTAGAACTGATTTGTAAGGTTGGGTCTTTTCTATCTATAGCATTGGTTCTTCCTTGGTTACTTCTAAGATAATATCCTCATCAACAATCCATCGTTTCATCAACCATACCATAGCCATAACAACATACTTCTCCTACAATTCTCATATCATAAATAGCCTACCGTTTTCACCTTTACATTTTCCACCTAATCCATCTATTTGAACAATTCACTTATGAATGTTGTTTTACTTCATTCCTAGATCTACAATCAATCGATAAGGTAGAATCGCATTCGTATCATATGGTATCAGAGCTTTGGTGGAAGAAGCAACATGCAACAACAACAAAAACAAAAAAAAATACAAAAAAAAAGGAAGTGCAAGTGCAAGAAATACGAAAATCAGCAAAGAAAAGTTGAAGCAATCATCAATAAGTCTTATTACCAAGCCATTCAAGTAAGCCTCAAAATTGACTGTGGTGATAGGAGTGATGTGGTCACACCCACCCCAGTTCTGGAAGTCATGCTACAAGGTCCCATTACTAGGTCAAGGGCCAAACAATTCAGGGAAGTTCTCCTAACTAAGTGTCTTGAAGCTTTTAATTCATTTGATAACTTAAAACCCTCCTATGTTATGTTATATAATGTTTTAATAGTTAAAGAATAACTTAGTATGAAAACATCATGCACATTGTTATTTAATATATTAAGCATGTTAGAATAGTCTTATAATCATATTAAGTATGATTATCACATATACATCAAGGCAGTATACTTATAATTCATTTCATTAGTTCATATGCATTCATATTAGCTCTTAAGCTTCATGCATGATCTTACACATATTATGAGATTATATAATTAGCTCATGGCCTTCAAACATAGCTCACATTACCATAATCATACATGGAAACAAGGTATTTAGCTCATATCAGCTCAATATCATGGACTTACCTTGTTCCTTTGCACTACATTAGAGTGTGATGCACGTTGAGGTAGCTTGGTGGATTATTTGGACATCATATGTAGCTCACAAACAGCTCACAAAGTACATGGCAGCTCATGGAACAATAAGGAAAGCTCAATTCAGCTGGAGGAGCTTAAGGATATCTAAACTTAACTAGTTGGACTATTTGGAGCTAAGTTTCCAAAAGTGATATCAATGGTAACTGAATGTAGATGAACATGCTGTTATGGAGCTTACAAGGACTCGACTAGGAAGCTTGTTCACAAACAGCCCATGCTTGCTAGCTAGCTCCCACACTCAAGCTAGCTTAAATGATACACGTGCACGCCTAAGATGGAGCATATGACTAGCCATCATCCCATGCACAAGGCTGCACCACAAGGCTCCCTAGAGCACCCATGTACGTGCCATATGACCAGCCCCATGTGCCTTGTATGTGATTTCATTTAGGCGCTAAGATGAAGAGCCCTCTCCCTATTCGGCCAAGCATCATCTCCCATCCAATTTGGCGCCAACATGAAGGAAC